TAGCACTACACAAAACTACAGCCTACAGCCTACAGGTAATCTTGATTAATTAGGTATCCTTCATATTCGTTAAACCGGAAAAATTCAAAAAGGCAAGCAAACACGACCTGCTCTATACTAGAAAATAACAAATATTTTATGCCTATAACCATTCACCAGTAAATCAGAGATTGGAGTAATTAGTAAAGGCTTAGAAAATTGATTATTCCTTACCTCACAACGGTCGGACAGGCGCACCACACAGGGAGGAAACTCAGGCGGCAGGCGCAGCCTCGCAGTCGCAGGGAAGGGCTGAACTGAAGGTGGAGGCGGTCCAGGCGAAGCAGCGTGGAGGAAACTCAGGCGCAGCAGCTGCCGGCAGGGAAGTGAAGACGGGACTGGGACTGGGAGTCTCTAGTTGAGCAAGTTGGGCCCTTGGAAGCTGTTTTAGACTTTTAGTGCTTAAAATTACCAAAAACTGGGCCGCCTAATTTTTGGACCGGGTCATTTGCTTTTGTTTTGGATTTGAACTCTTTATTTATTTAAGTAAATATTGAATCTTTTGTTTAAATTTAAGATTTTTGTATTATTGAATTTTAATGTGTGAGTTATTGAGTCAATATTTATTAATGAAAAAAAAATTCAAAATTTTGCGGGGGCGAGTCAAAATTCTTGGAGGGGCGAAACTGAAAAATACATTAAAAATTCATTAGGAATAGTGGACCGACGGACAATGTTGGGGGGCGGTCGCCCCCCTCCCCCCTACCTCCATCTCTGGTTGTAGGGTGGCTACTGTTGAGATCTTACCGGAAAACTTTGAAGACAAGGATGTTAGCGGGAGATGTTTATTACTTCTCGCAGAAGGCTTAGAATAATGAAATGTTCTGAAGCTAAAGGACTTGGATTCTTGTAAAAGCTGTAGCCATAGAACTTGCATACAAAATGTTGCATAATTCAGAATTCAGAAAACCCAATAAAACCGAACTATTTACTGAAGAATTTAATTTTTGCCAATTCCGATGGGACTTCATCTGAAAAATTAATGGTACCTTATTTTTATAATCTTCAAAAACCAAATCTCAACTAATAACCCTCAAATGATGCATTTATCTTCACTTACAGAAGCTAATGATCGGAAATTCAACCCAGAATTTTTGGGTTGTAGTTTGGGTTGCGGGTGAGCCGGTGAGGGAGAATATGAAGTTTTGATGGTGAGGTGGGAGTGGAGTGAAGGTGGGATTGCGGAAGAAGATAAAATTTTAAATGTTTAAAATCGTGGATGATACATATGAAAAAATTGAGTGTAATGTGAAAAAGAAAAAAAAAATGGTTTTTTATTTTGAGATGATGTGTACACCATAATATTGGGGTTAATAACTCAAATGGTCACTGAACTTTGCAAAAAAAAAAAAAAAACTTAAAAATCATTCAAGTAATCATTGAACTTTGCAAAATGTGTACACGAGGTCACTGAATTTTAAAAATCATCATATTCATCACTAAACTTTGCAAACAGTAACCTGTGGAATTTTTTTTACAAAGTTTAGTGATAAATGAAGTGATTTTTAAAGTTTAGTGACCTAAAAGTATAATGGTAAATTAGTTGCGGTGTATTTATTGAAAATATATTTTAATTATAGTGTGATTATAACATGGTGAAAACTTGACTGAATGCTAATTTATCAAAGGGAAAGATATTTTGCCTTTTTTTTTTTGATAAAAATAAAATAGTAATTGAAATTTTAAAGAATAAAAAATAGGCATGTAAATTGTTGCATAATGTAATATAAAGGGTGTGATTTATGATTTTGAATTAAAGGGGTATTTTTGTCCATTAACACATCTTTGTAAATTTTTTGGCAAAATTATATTTTGTTACAACATTATAAAATGTATTATGTAAATTATATTTTTTTTAAAAATAATATGTAACCTATAGCAAATAAAAAAATTATATCCCTAGTGATGCAGTTTTATTATACTTAAATTATAGCAGAAGCATTGCATTATACATCTAACAAAAATTATAAATAAATCTTGAAAATATCCTACAATAGAGTATTGAATAAATATTATATAAATTTAAATTGTGTATAAACACTAACGACATCTATTTATAATTTAAATTGTTTATAAACACTAATGGATATTTGTAAAAGAAGATTTTAAAAAAATCTAAATAAAATCTATTTATAATCATTTGCATGCACTCATTTACATAATAAAATATTCTGCACGTAAATCTAATTTTTTTTCTTACTTTTTAACTACACATTCTCCAAAAATTTATTATTCAAAACATTATTTTTGGTAAATAATGGCCCCCATTACTTCTCACATTGAATGACAACAGGCATCTCCTCAGTTAGTTTTCTCACTAAATTGAGAAAGTGGCTTTATAATTCAATTAAGATTCATTTACTACAGTGGAATTTAATATTCTCTATTTCACCTTTAAATACAAAATTTCTGTTCTGAGTTGCACTACTTCATCTTTCTTTACCTTTAAAGAAAGATGTGTCTCAATCTTTTTAATCGAATCATAGTTGAATGTCGTTTTTTTTTTTAAACTTTAGTTGCGATGAAATCTAAAGACCAATGAAAAATGCCGATCCACCTTCCTAAAATTAGATCTCCCGATCGCGATCTTATGAGGTAGATGATTCATCTTTATCTTCATATTTGAAAAAAAAATCTGAAGTCGTTGATTCTAGCTCACAATATGGGTGAAATCAAGCTGTGAAACATAGAATATATATGAATCGACAAAAAATATATCATAGGTCATGTCTCTTATTATGTTTATTTTCTAATTAAGTATCAATTTATTTTCCAATTTTCTCTACTTTTGATATATTGGGCTAAATATATTTTGTTCAGTCTTTTTTCATTTGACAAGCATTTGAGTGTCCAAGCCTACTGGACCCAAGGATAGGTCTACTTATAGAAATACAGGCCCAATTTGAGCTGGAAGCCCAATAAATCATGTAGGAAAGTTGTGGTCTTGGACTTACTTTTGCCCGTAGACCTAATCACCCAAACAATGGAGAAGGATTAAGCGGGTGAAAATTGGCCTCGACTAGGGATAAGCCGGAGTTCAATCCCCGCCCCATATGCTTGAATCTCGCGGACTCTTTTTTCTTATACTCCCGATATGTCCCGCACTGACTTTGAAGATCCCCTAACAAGAGGTTGTAGTTAAGGTCGTACCTTAGTGTGGTCAACTTGAGCATGGGCCCAAAGCGCGATGGCTCGGTGAACTTCACAAACAAATAAGACTAGCTTGAGGCACTACAACCCATGTTGATGTGCCCACTCTGAAGTGGAACCGATCTACACGATCACGCTAATCTTAGGCCCTGTTTGGGAAGGATTAAATTTTTCTACAGTAAATCAATTCTCATTTTCAACCACACATTTTTCAATAAAATAATATTTTCCATCACATCAATAATTTTTTCTTCTTTTTCAACCGCACATTTCCCATCATATCACTATTTAAAATCNTGTTTTTGATTTTTTGATTCTACAGTAAATCGATTCTCATTTTCAACCACACATTCTTCAATAAAATAATATTTTCCATCACATCAATAATTTTTTCTTCTTTTTCAACCACACATTTCCCATCATATCAATATTCAAAATCAATTATTCCCCCAAAAATCTCTCCCAAACAAGCTCTTAATATAATTTAATAGGAATAATGACATGACAGAGATAAAAATATCTCCATTTCTCGTCCTATTTTTCCGTTAACCTATTTATTTTTCTTTTACATTATTTTTCTATATTTTTAAATATAATTAAAATTATAACAATAATACGGAAACTAAGATTCAGGGTGGATCTCCGACCATTAGAATTCGTTGTTTTTGGTGATGAATATTTCTCTTTCAGAACTCCAATTTTTAGATATGGCAAAATAAACCGTCCTTACCCTGTCCTTCCTTGGGATGGGAATTATTTTTTATTTTATTTTAATTTTAATAAAATATAAAAAATGAATAATTAAATATGTAAATAGAGCATTAAATTAGGATATTTTAATCCATGTCTCGTTCCGTCTCTAAAAAATTATCGTTGTAGGAATGGCAAAGGGGTGTGTATGAGACGGGTCGGCTATTCCCACCCCTGTCCCATCAGGTATTTTTGTTACTTTATCCCATCTCCATACCTGTTTAAAACAGGACGTGACGGGTTCGGAGCGAGATAGAAGCGGGGGCGGAGTAGGTCATCTGCCCCATTTATCGCCCCATTTATTTTTTCTATTTATTTTTTAATTTTTTTATATCTTTACTTAGTAAATATTATTACTTTTTTACCAATTTATTAGAAATAACTTATATTCTCTTTAAAA